AATGTCATTGATTTAGTTGTAAAATGTTCATATTATTTTGGTATTCAAACAGTTAAACAAATTATAATTCAAACAAAGAATTTGGAAATGATATATGGAGAATAGATAAATGGGGAACAACAAAACTATTTTCATTGCGATTATGAGGTGGAAAAGTTACACTTTTTGGGGCCTTAGCAACGATGTATTTAATATTTAATTTAAAGGCCAGTCCAAAAATTACGATTTACAAGTCATATAAAATTATATAAGATTACAGAGACCATATTAAGATTTATCATACATCAGTAGTTTTTTGTGTCAAATAATTTTGACTTATAGTCAATTGTGTGGTTTAATTACGCAGATATAATTTGGTATTGTTCTACTCAAATCCTTAAATTTGTTCCATGTGAACTCAACCTAAACAAACATTAAAACTAATAATCATACTCGAGTTTAGTAGTTAGGGCATATACAACATAATGTAAACAATATAAAAAACAAGTATAATTTGAATTATTAGGGGTTGAAATTGTTTGCACAACTGGTTTTGGACGCATCAGAAGACTAAATACAAACCTTGCTTTGATTTGGCTACCTACACTCAAATGTATTTATAACAAACCACTCTTAAAACATGAAGAAGCTAAGAACAAATTAAGACTGCATCAGAAAAACAAATAATATAAGACAACAAACTATTACAAAATGTTCATCACAAACAAGTTATTACAAAATGTAGTTTTACAAGAACACAAAAAGTAGCCCATTTAGTTAAAAGAAATGACTCATAGAATGATATTTGATCAACTGCTACGAGAGACGGGGTATGTTACATTGTTTGATCAAGTGTATGTTGCAGCACAGTTTGCTCTGTACAGAACAGAGTAAGTGAAATATAAATAGTAAGCGAAGTCATAAAAACTGTCTGTGTGTAGGCTTACTGATAAACTGCGTTCATACAGTACATGGTTTTGGTAGTTTGACTGGACTTAAATTAGAAGTTTTTATTGGTCAATTCTCTAAAATGCAACTAACTTTGCTCCTGAAGAAAAAAAGTCTTTGAAAAATCCTTCATAAAAACAAAATTTTGTCTTTTTTACTACTACAAATTAAAAGACTCCCACCCCATGTATCTTTAAATTCGTTTGTTGGAAAAATAAAGATTTAGCTATAGGAAAATTCACTAACTCTAGATATAAATATAGGAATGTACATTAGTAAATGAACTTAAAATATACGTATACTTAGATTTCTAAAACATTACTTGGTGAAAAATGTTTTTTGGAGAGTTTATGTATGTTTTTTAGATGGTTCAACGTGTACTAAAATGATATGTTACGACACTTTGGCTGAAGTACTATTTTTTTTAATGTTGATGAATATAAAATTATAGTTTCTAAATAGTAACTTAGCGTAAATAACCGTACAGCATGACAAAAAATGGTTCATCACAAGCCCGGGTAAGTGTCTTTGCAACACTCGCTCAATCATTTTATTTTATTTTTTTGCCAACGGATTTAACACCAATTTTACAGATTATAATATTACAAGTTGTGAAATTCTCATTATGACTAAATAGCCCATATACAAGGGCTAAGAGCGAGGAGAAACAAATAATCAATGAGAGAGGATAGCTGAAACATTTTTCAATACTTAACATTTTTTTTTTGTCTCCTCCTCCTGTTTTCAATATTGCTCCTTAAACTCTAGGAATTTTCTGTTCTTCCAACAAAACTGATTGACTGTTTAGATTTGCCTATAACCTCCTAAATATTACAAACATCAATATTTACTCCCAAAAAGCTGGTGAGTTTCTTTTTATATACAGCTGTTTTTGTTTTTAAATTTGTTTTCAATGTAATTCTAATGGGGAAAATGCGACCTTTAAGAGTGTCTCGTGCCCTTAAGGGCAAGAGTTTTTAAATTCTAAAACCTTAATGCAAAACTACGAATTGAGACGAATGATTTGACATCTCAAACGTTAAAATCAGTCCAGAAATAACGGAGGAGTTTTGTTCACAAAAAACAGCCCTTACGTATTAATATAAGAGATTCCAGTAGTAACTTTCAGACCCAGGATGGATCTAGTTCAACATATCACTCCGCCACTGCCATAGCGTACATGTCACCTTGCAGACAGCTCGACTGCCCGCCATCTGTGGTCATTGCTTTAACAAGGCAAGGACGTTCGTGTTCAGTTTTTACCGGACATTCCCTTGTTGGACACGGTTTTTACCGGCGACTTTCTCTCGGACGATGAATCACAGGAAGTTAATTAGTAAGTTAGCTCTGGAAGAGTTACGCAATCTTCATTTTGTGTTGTATGTTTCTGGTAACACTTTGATTTAAATCAATCTTCAGTGTCAAATATTACTTTGATCGATGTTATGTTGGTAAATACTAAGGGATTCGTCGTGTATTGGTGGTTTTCAATACATAGACCTTTACCATAAGGAATGGTTCAATAGGAGATTTTAGTTTTCTTTGTATATTTACGTCATAGAATTTGGGGGATGCGGAATACTATCCCCCGGAAAACTACCCCCCAGGTGCAACGTGACGTCACAAAATCTGCTAACTAACCAATATGGAAGCCGTGTCCGCGACTGGAATACTACCCCCCCCTAGATAAATCATGCTATGTAATTTTAATTTTAATTCGAGTAATTCCGTTGGATAATAGAAAAGGCATGTGGTGAATATAAAACAGATTTTCGAAATGTTACAGCAAGTTTGGTTGGTTAGGTTAGGTTAGATTAGAACTGTTTGACAACTAAATTTGAGTGTCCGTGACTGGAAAACTGCCCCCCCCGGTCTCTGACGTCAATATGACGTAGGAACCTGCTTGGGGGGGGGGTAGTTTTCCGGGGGGCAGTCTTCCGGCGACCCAGAATTTGTACGAGTTGGTATTGTTACTATCTAACGTAGGTCATTTTGTTAGATTACTGATAGGCCAATGGCAACTGGCATATCCAGTTATGATTTTGCTCGGAATCCCAGCAATCTTCAGATTTGAGTGAGCATTACAACCACTCGGCTACCCGGTAAGTTATACAATTAGGAAATTGAGTGAGAATGACTTCCTACTATTATCGGGACGTTAAATAGGAAAACGTCTAACAACCTAAATTTTCTATCGGTGCCCGATTCTCTAATATATCCTTAATCTCTGTTCGTGGCAGCCACGGGAACGTCGTAGTCACAAAATTTGCTCATGTAAACAATACTTATTGGATAAAACACGAGACATTTTATTCATTACTGAGATAAAAATCCACTGACTACAAACAATGACCTTGTTGGGCTTTGGTTAGTGAATCTACAAAAACTATGTAAGATCAGTATCATAGAACTTATAATGACTGTTTCTATCTTATATATCACCTGTTTAGGTTAAATACCTATTGTTTATTTGTGATAATCAATAGGTGCCAGAGTTCATACAAAAACAATTGCACATTACCTAACTATTGATAACACCGTATACGGAATACCCTTGGACCTACTTTTGTAGAAACTTGATCCACCTGCTGCCTTCTTCGGGTTACTGAACATTGTACTAGAATAGCACAGCTGTTGTGTGATCTATTTAACTTCCTTCCATTGCCGATCAACCTAACAACAGGTGTTTTTGTGTTTATTGCAATCTATATATAAAGCCAAAAGTACCCATGAACTTTTGAGAAAACTACAAGTCACACCTCCATAAACCATATACTTAAAATGTTCGTCATAACGAGAAACCTTGCGCAAAACTATCCATTATTTCATAAATTGCCCTTTAAGGTCGTAATTTTGTTCTAAAGGGAACTTTCCATATACCTAATGTTAAAAATACCTCAGCTGTACTTATTTGTTTGTTATTATTTCAATTTATTACCTTAAAATCAGGTGTGATTATTTGTTAATTTTACTATATTTTGTTAATTTCAGGTTAACTCAACCAATCGATAGTTTAATTAATACCTCTGAAGTCAAAGGGGTGAAGCCCGTGGGTAACAGCTGTTTGTATAGTTTCAAAATTCTCCAAACTTCACAATAATAGATTTGTATTAGTTTGGTTTTCTGATCTTTATGTGCACAACTGTTTGCAACACGAATCAGGTATACCCATTATTAATTTTTTATATCGGAACCGGGGTAATGTCCCCCGAACTCAAATAAATAAAAAACACAATAAAACTAATTTAATAGAAAAGAAAATAGCATCAAAATCTGAACCAAAAAATATAATAATAGTAATTAAACAAATAAAAATAATGCTAGAATACTCCGAGATAAACAGAAGGGCAAACCCCCCGACACCATATTCAATATCACCCTCAGAAATATCAAAAGGAGTGCGATTTCTCTCAGCCATACAACAAGAGAGTCAACACAAAAACAATGGGAATGAAAGAAAAAAATAAAACAATATATTATTCAACTATGGTTTGAAATGTAACCATACTTTGTTAAATAATAATAGTAGTATTTTAATGATATTTTTTCATTAGTCTTTGCATTATGAGTTAGGTGAAACGTCAAAATGTCGTTTTGGTAGTTATACGTAACCTCAACACCTTATTTGTTCGTTTTCATTGCTAAGTCAAAATAACTTTCGTATTAATGGCTGACACCTGCTTCGTATAACAGCCTAAACTGGGTCGGTACCTCACGAAATAAGTTGAAGTAAAATGAGGAATTCTAATGTACCCACACAATAAATTGTCCCTTTGGGTAGTAGATACATCTAGGGAATGGAACTAGGACAACGTAGGATAGTCTTTTGGTGAAACTAACTTACATAATTTTCCTTAAGATAAAACACCAGATAGAATAATGAAGGCTATGGTAATACCATGGAGGGTAGTCTGCGTGGTAAACCTAATCTACATACTTCAAAGTTCACACGTTAAATGTATTGTGTATTGAGGAAAGTCTACAAGGTAAACCTACCCTACACCATGTACCTCTGGGTACGAGGAACGTCTGCGAGGTGGACCTGTTTCCACCAGCTGATCCATTGTTGGTGGGGGAACGCCTGGTTGCTGCCTGAACGTTCAGTTGGTGCGCGGTTTGGTTAGCGGACAGTGTGATTTTCGGATACCTAATTAACTCTTTTATAACGGTGAGCGCATTTTTATATTATTTGAGTTGATTTAACATTATTAGTTTTGCATTACTTAATTTTATTGACTCGTTTATGTTTGTTAAATATGACAAATTTGGAAGAATTGTTTTACGTTGTTTTGTTAGTTTTTGAAGCATGTTTTAACATGACATGTTATCAGTTTAGGTTATTGAACTAAACTTTTTTTATTAATATTTGTTTGGTTACTTGGTTTATGTGTGGGTATGTTTTTTTTTTACTTGTTGACAACATTTCTAGTATAATTGTTAAGCAAACCGTTATCATGTTTAACTAAAAATATAATCTAACCTACACAACTACACACTTTTCCGATTCAGGATACTGTATTTTTATTTAGCAAATGGCATGCATAACTGGAATATGTTCTACTTAGTATGGGTTTATCTTGAGTCAATGAATACTTCTTTAGCTTAAGGAGGGGTAATAGAAAAACCCAAAACAGTTTTAACGAAATTTTACTTAGTAGTAACCTGAATTTTGATTGAGTTTTGAAAACTTTTACTTGCCGGTAATAATTATTTATTTAGTAGAAGGATTATCCATGCAAATGTGACAGGCCCTATTATATTTTGTAAACTTCACGAAAAAAGCGTCATTGAACACGTCCCCAATTTTCCCTATACATGTTTCTACAATCTCCTTAGAGCTGTGCATCAAGATATTTGCTCACAATCTTCGTGATGACTAACTAAAACTATAAAACTATAAAAATAATTGTCACCCATACATATTTTATCGCAATGTTGGACCGAATCAGAGTCATTTAACTGTTTTAGCGGACCGGTTTCGATAATTCTCAATCACCGGATTCAAATGAATTGCCGAATCCAATCACAGATTCGATTCTAGCATCGTTGTCCGACATATAACATTCCAGAACCGATCGAGCTCTTATCGGTCATTTCAATCCGAATCGTCGAACCACTCGAGCATTTGCCAATGCAATTTTTTTACTTTCGAAAATTAAACTGCACAAGGCAAAATAACAGTATAACTTGTAGTTATTGCAATTTGACCAAAGCATTAAGATAGTATTTTTTTTATGAAAGTTTTGTGTAAAAAAAGGTTAAATAACGAATAGCAATGATGCCATTATGTTTCGATAAGCATTTGATTTAGCACACCTTGAAAGCTTCGATTTATGCACACTATTTAGTTCAAAGGAAAAATAAATAAGATATTTAAGTAATGGCTACTAAAAAATTGTTTGGATTTTTATAGCATTACAGATTAACTGATAAATTTATTTGCTGTTAGTTGAAAGAAATACAATCAAGCCAAATAGTGTATTACCTGAACAGAATGCAGTGTATAGCTACGTCAAGTACAGTAATATACTCAAAACTTTATTATTGTGTAGATAAAATTAAAATTTTTTTGAAGTTCCCAAATTTTTTTTAGCTTTATAAAACAACGTAAGCCACGTAGCAAGGATGATAGTTTTCTCGAAAGACATAGCACCGAGACATTTTATATTACTCGGTAATAAATTTTAAGGTTTTTTACATAGCTCAAAAAAATTGTTAATTACCTAACTAAATGTATCTAATTAATCAACCTCTTTATTTTTTGGGTATTTTTTAACATGTAACCTATTACAGTTTTACCATGATATTTTTATTTAGGCTACTAGAACAAACATATTTCTTGACTCGTGGACTAATAAGTGACTTTAAACTGTAGAGCCATTTTATAAACCTCGATAGAAATGTTTAACTGTTAAAACGTAGTTGCGTCAGAAACCTTTCATGTGCTCATTATTTATTCAACTTGTTCAAATAGAAACTGTAATGGCTAGTGACGTCAACACATCTGAATCAAGCCGAGTATTTCACTTGTGTTAACTGGATAACTCAACAGCTGATGCAGCTGCAATGTTGATTGTTGGCAATCAGCTGTTTGCAGATCAGCTGTTTGCTGCTCAACGATCGAGCCGCATACATGCTGCAAACAGCGTTCCGATCGGTTTTGAATTTTTCACTTTCCGTTAGAATTTAATTTTATATCGAATGTGTGAGCGGAATTGTTTAAAGTACTAAGTTTAACACCTTAATGATTTAGCTCAGCCAATACCATCCTAAACATAATATAGTGTTTTAAAAATTATGGGAGAATAAAAGTAATTTAATTAATGGTTTTAACTATAAATCTTTTTAAACATCCTGGATACAAAATACAAAAACTTAAGTGATTGTACATACTACATCCACAGATGGTACTCGCCTGTTATACCATTGACCAAAGAAACAATTAAATAAATGAAAACAAAATAATGAAAAAATGTTGAATACAAATGCTAGAGGACAAGGATATAAAAAATACTAAGTTCAAAAGTTGGTTAGGGTTATGTAATTTTCCCCCCAAATATTTGTCAAAGTCTCAAAAAGTATGTTTAATTAGTTTACCGTGTTGACCAATCGAAACATGGTGTTTATATTTATTTATTCAGCCAGTGTAGTTTATTATACGTATTTATATTTATACTAAGTGTGTATGTGGTCTGCGTCACAGCCACAAGTCGTATTTTATTTTACACACCTGTTGTTTGTTTTAAAAATTCGGTATATATTAAGCTAGATGTGCAGTGGTGGCTTAAAATAGTTTATTAATTGTGATATTGTCAATTGTAAAGCAAACGGTAGTTGTGGCGTCATACTTTTGACTGACTCAACAAAACAGGATGAGTCATAGCAGATAAAATCTGAATGCCGATATTGCTGTCCTTCGTGATAGATAACGAACGAATATTTATAAATAAAGATATGGTACAGTCAGTAGCAATACTGTCTTACAGCTAATTTTAATAACCTATAGGGTTTATTGTTACAGTATTGTTTCCATAGTCTATTCTGTATTTAGAATTTGTAGCTTTAATAGAAGTTTAGTATTTTTTTTTCATTCTTCCGCAGCCACATATGTTTTTAACACTGAATACTGTCTTTGTGGTTCTTAAGTAATTATTTTTATATCTAGGGTAAAATAAATAAGCTTGAGGATTTTCGCTGTACATTTGTCACTTTCAAAACTGAATTTGATGAAGAATATAGTTCCGTTTAATAACAAACCGTCATATCATTATTTACCATAGACTAACCAATGTTTGCGTTAATTTGTTGTAATGTTACATTCTAAAATGTGATAAAACCCCTCTTATAAATATCGTTTGAATGATTAAAATTTTAAATGTTTTGAGTAGTTTGAGCTTGAATGACTTATTTGTTAGCAAGCCAAAGCAAAGCGCTGTATCTAAATCCTTTCAAACTAACAAAACAGGTTAAATAATAAAATACAGCTGTTTTTTTCCATTAAAAACGTTAACATTTAACGATTAATTTAATTTTTAAGTTTTTTTAAGAACTTGAACATTATTTATATTCCACAGTATTCAGTAATTTTTGAGCTCGTGTAGAAAAAAATCACGTTTGGCTATAGTGATGAAACTATTTTCTCAGCTATAGTCTGTATGATAAAACCTGCCTCCTGACCCTTCATCTACCTGGGAATTACCTGGTCCATAGGCCGATATCGTGCCATCTCGTCCAGTGCTATCTCGTCCAGCGAATATTTACAGTTGATTAAACACACTAATGGGTGCGATCTCGTCCAATTTTAACTTGGCATGGGGTACGGATAAGGAACGCAAAGCGGGTAGTCTCCGGCCTGCAAGTCCAGGGAATTCCATATAGGTTAGGGCACATGACTCCTGTAGTTATATTGAAGTTGTACTAGTAATGTCTCTTACTCAATCAAAAGGGACTGAACTGTGGAAACAAGAAACTGAAAACATTATGACAAAGCAATAGTGGCTATATCGTACATAATATAATTTTGTACAGTATATAAATATTTGATATATAGCTTTGTAAGATTTAAGTAGGCAGACAATTTGACAAGGCTGAAATGTCGCTTTTTGCATTGCCAGACTTGGTTTGTGTTTTCCAACCTGTTTAGTAATATGTAGTACAGTAATGTGAAAATTGGCTATGTAAGTTCGCTGCATTAGAGTGAAAACATTCTAGAGGGGAATATATCACACACTGTATTTTATGGTTGTTTTATGGTTATCAAGTTCTGCCATATACTCAGTGTTTGACAACGTTTTTACTGTTAAGTTATATTATCCAACAGCTGTTTGACTTAATATGCGATTATCAAAGAACGGCACTGGAGGTAAATACTAATTACAAAAGTAGGCTACTGCAAACGTTTCAATAGTTTTTGTAGACGTGCCTGGCGAACAATAGGATGAGTCTTTGGACAAGATAGCACTAGTTGGCAGTAGGGGATTAGCTCACCACCCTTCGTTCGAGGAATTTGGACGACTTATCACTTGGACGAGATTGCACTTGGACGAAATAGCACTTGGACTAGATGGCACGACCCGCCATTGGCCAGTCCCCAGGTAGAGGAGGTTCAGGAGACAGGTTTCATCATACAGACTATAATCTAGTCCGTAAACTATTGCTCTATAAGTCCTTTCACAGAAAATATTTTAGTCTATGGTAATTTGCTTCATTGAACGGTTTTCATTCCATAAGTCGCTTCTGAGGTCTACAGAATGTTTTAGGCTCGCAAAGTCGTGCCATTACTGTATACAATGTCAACTTTGTATACCGTCAGGCGCGCACCGCTCTTATCTTTATGGTACGACCGTGCTACATTTACTTCTAACTATCGGCCGTGGTTCACTTTTTATCTTAGTGGAACAGATTTTTGGTGGTAAAACTAATCTTTAAGTATTAACGTGAAGGAATCAAGGACTGAAATCTCCGAAAATAAGAGTTGTAAGTTAGATAAAACCTGTGATTTTATTGTTATTTTGTAAATTTAGAGTAGGTACCGGTATGGTTAAAACTACAGATATTTAAACAGAAACTGTTGTATTCATTGACTGTACTGTTTGGATCAGAAACATAAACAAATGACGTCACTGGCGCGAAAGTAAAACTGTTTTTCACCACACTATGATGTTTTTA